CGATGGACTAGCATCCCATCCAGGGGGGAGTAGAAATACTCCTAGTCACTTCATGCTACAGAAACCAGGAGAAGCTCCGGCCTGATGGGCCACTTGGCTCGTTTGCAGACTTTACCTTACCTTAGCTACCCTAACCACTCAGCCACGCTGCCTCCAAAGCAGTATTTACCGATTGGGATGCTGCAAAACCTCACCCTTTGTGAGGGGTTGACATTAACAAAACAGCAAACCACTTTTTAAGGATTCCTAAGTTCAAAGTTATCTGGCTCAGATAGAAACATTTGCTTAAACAAGATCCTGATGAACAAGCAGAATTTCAACCAGGATGACAACAGACAATTTCAGCAATGCCCATAAGGCCACAACCATTATCTCTACCATACCATGCTGACTTGCATCACTAATCGCAGCACCCTTTTAGTCAAATCCCCTGACTGAATTGTCATTTTGGAACTAAGATGAATGAAGTACAACAGAGAAGTTTTGATTCTCTTTCACTTATTTTGCTGCATTTCAGTTTATTTCACATATTCACAATGTCACTGACTTACCACTATATGTTAATGGCACAACAGAAACTCTGTTGCTGCTTGATGAAACTCTTGTCGGAGAATCTGAAAGAAATATGATCATTATTACAATTGGACTTCTCTCTCCAACAGTCAGCCTGGAGCAGTATTACAGTTGATTTCACAATACTTTTCCGCACCGCATTGCGAAGTTCGCTGGGAAGTTGGGTACTAGGTTATGAAGTAGCCAATTACGTGGTGAATTAGACAATCAAATTGTGAACTTCAAATCGAAGTTCCCAACTTCAGCCACACTAAACTTCGCAAGTTTGCTAACATGTGTGCAGAGCCGTGTGGAGAGATCTTTGAAGTCATGGCAATGACGTGTGAACTTGATAAGTTTACGGAACTGTTAAGTGGTAAGCTGATAGTGCTTCTTGTCAGCTGACAAAAGAAACTTTACAAGTAAATGGGTTTACAAGCCATCTGCAGATAAAGCTGATTTTGAACAAGAGTAAAATATATGGAGTAGTATGGATTGAAACATGGTGGAGACCAAACATCCTGACCATGGCACAAGGGAGGGTGCTAGAGAAATGTACTACTGGTTGGTGCTTCAGACTTGCTCACATATTATCAAGTTTTGTGCACAAGACATTTGGAAAGCAAGAGAGAAGCACAAGAGTTGCTCAAGGCAAGGATGAGAGCAGCTCTAGCTTCTTGAGTGCTCTTCAAACTTCCCAAGTGCATCATACATAACTTGATGATGCACAGCTAAAAGCATGAATCGAGTATTTCATAATTACATTGCTCGTAGAAATAAATGTACAGTCACAACCACTTGTGCAAGAAGAGAAATTTATCTAGTGAAGCAAAGTTAACTTGGCTCGTTCAATAAGCGTGCATCACTGGATTAAGGTGCACAGTTACCTTTGCTTAGTTTGATGGCACAGCTTTGCTAGCTATGTTACAGTGAATGTTCACAGGGCATAGAAAAATGATTTCAAATCCACTCGCCCAGTGGACTAGTAAATTTCAGTTTTCACTTGCCCCACTGAAATGCTACTTGCCGACATGATGGCAAGTATGGCAATCAGAATACAAACAGGAACAAAGTATGCTTGGATTCCTAACTAATCCGTGCTTTCAGCGTAATAGTTAACTAATCCTGCAGTGTTAAGTTTAGAAATAGCTTCTGAATGGAAATAATCAATTATCAAGCTGACATATTTTCATTCAGACTCACAAGACTACCGAGGCTAATTTCACTTCCCCACTGGGTCACTGAACTTCTATTTTCACTTGCCCAAGAGCAAAATTTATTTGCCCCAGGATATCGGACCTGGGTTTTTTTCCTGCCCTGTGTTAGTCAAGATTGGGATGTGGTATAAAATTGTTGCTGTGGTCCACCTTATATATTGCAAATCCATTAATTTGGCTGGATATCACATTATTACTTTACACTAGTATATATTTTCATATATACCGTACGACATATAACGTGTGCAATAATCAAACAAGGATTAGTCATCTCATTTGGAGTATAAAGAACTTCAAAAATTGGCACAACATTTTTTTTTTTTATCATTCTGGTAAAATCAAAAATCAAAGAGACATGTAGCATATATATACCTGCGACAGTGAAATTTCAGCTCCTCTGAAAGATCTTAAATACAATGTTTAAAACACCTGTGTTTCCAAGCTAGCAGTAGATGCTCTTAATAACCACTGTTTGACGGAAACAATCTACATCAAAAAACCTCCAAGAGTAACTTACTTTCAGCTTCCTCCTACAGTATACATAGACAGCCAACCTGTAGTATGCAACACTGCTGTTTCTTCTTTGGAACAAAACAAAATTTGTTGACTGTACTTCCTGTTGTAATATACTCCCACTCAGCGGTTATAATAATAGCAGTAGTCTACATGTAGATGCATTTAATATAGCAACTCATGTTTGCCATGTCACAATAATTATTTCCACATTTTCTGAATAATAACAAGGAAATTTAATATTCCCGATCTGGAATCCAATTTTCCAGCCCTGAATTTCATATCTGGGGGTTTAGAAGTGCTCAGGACACAGTGTATGGCATATGGTGTAGTGAAGAAAAGTATTGTTTCTCATTTGATCCTGTGTAATTGTATAAATCTATTTTCTACAACAGCTAAGAGCAGGTGACTTCTGTTTCTAAAGAAGATTATTTTTAGAGCCTTGGTCCAATTAGCATATTAATTCAACCTTTTTGTTTAAAAACGACAAGCTCCAACAATCAATACTGAGCTTCAGTATTCAGCAAATGTCATGTTAACAGCAACCCTACATGTCATAAGATTCTTGACTTATTTTAGTTTTAGCTTTTATGATGTAAAGGTACATTTACCTCTGAGTCAGAGAATTGTGTGACATGCAAAGAAAATATTTTGAGTACAGTTGTAAAGCTACTGACAGACTCCCTTTTATTCCCATCACCTGTCAGCTTATAACAAACTGAGAAATAAATTAAAACAGACGACCTCAAAACCAAAAAAGCATTGCAAAAAAAAAAAGTTCTTTCCCAAGCAACAAATTAAATCTAGTGAGACCAAAAGAGTCTGGGAAAAGAAACGGACACATCAACCTTAAAAGACATTGGGAAATCTTACTAATTTTCACAAGTACTAATTTCACGAAAATTCTGGAGCTGTATTTTGCAGCTATTTATTTTTGCTATTCTAGGAAAAACCTGTACACAAGTAGATTTAATTTTGCGTTTTTGTTAAAATTGCTTTAATCTCCCAAGTCCTGATCCAAAGACCTAGTTGACAACAAGACCATAAAGACTGACTGTATATTTTCAAGGATAGAAATTGAATAACTACCAACAAGCCTGTGACTTTGAACATTTAAAATCTATGTATTGCTTTCTTACATAATAAATCTGGTATTCAATTTTGCATGTTTAATTTTTGCACCCTCTTTTTTCGTGAATACTAATTTTCACTGTTTTTTTCCAAAAAGCAAAAATCATGAAATTTAGTACACCCACAATTCAGTAAGAATATGATAATAAATGAACCTTATGCTAAAGTCAACTTTAAGGAAAAATGCATAAAGTACAGAAATTGTCAATAATTCTAGCAGAGTAATAAATTTGTATAACACATCACCTCAAAAATCCATTTAAAGGAACAAGACGCATTTGTGACACATGTCTGTTTGACACTTAACAATGCAAGACCTGAACTTTCCACTTAAAGTAATACAAGCCACAGAGCACATGACCTTGTTGTCACTATTAAACCCAATCAAAGACAGACAGTCTGTGGAAAAGTATGCATATGAGCCATGCTGAAAGAAGCCAACCGTACCTAACTGGTTTTGAAACAGGTGCTGTAGGAAAACTATTACATTAAGTGCATTTGGATTGAATACTAGACCAGCTCTGATCATGCCCAGCCACTGCCCCCCTCCCCCCACCCCCAACTTCACCCCCTCAGTATTTTCAAAGGTTGCACTGGGAAACGACAATTTGCCTGGCTGGAAGAAGGCACCTTAGGAAAAACATGACAGTTTGAACAAAATCACACAAGGAAAACACTTACAGGCAGCGAGGTGATACTCGCTAGTATCATAAACAACATGCATGAAACATGACTGATGGTTTAATCCCAGTTTCAGACCACACATCTATTCAAAGGTTACAACTTCCTTTAACTTTTCTACTCTTTTTGTCTTTTCCTTTCTTCACTGTGATTTCTTCTCAGCTTCTTGCAACAGCAAGAAATCTTTTCACAATTTTGACATTCAACTAACAATTTGTAAATCAGATTAAATTTTTAACACACTGTCAAAGAGACAGATGACAGCAACACAAAACATCAAAACGCACTGCATACCAACTGGATCTGCATTTTCCAACACCACTTACATTCTTACAACTACAATGAAAAGAAGTGTATCACAATCAGTGAAGATACATGTAATTTATATTTGGAGTTTACTCCTAAATAATTATGTAAGAATACCACAATGATTTAATTTAGTGCCCGATGTGTTAATTAACTTTTGGCAAGGGAGGGCACTCAACAGAGAGGGGCACTTAAGGACAACATGCTTACAGTATTACTTTTCAAACTACCATCTTTCATGTCATTTCCACAATTGCTACTCATTGCTATAGCCATTGAGATAAAACTGAGGTCTATCTCAGCTATTGTTGTCGCAATGACCTTTATGGTCTCTGTAATTGCTGAAGATGTTTACAAATCAGGGCTGTCATTATGGGCCATAACCCGTAATGTTTGCCTGTTACGGCTGGGCTTGTTTGATCCGCCCTTGATGTTATGGGTGAAATTGAAGATTAAAGCTAAAGGTGGATCAAAACTAATGACAGCCCTGCAAATGATTTCAATGGTCACTGAACTTCTTTTCTATGATTGTAGTGATCATCACAAAACCAGCATTTTTTGGGGCATTGAATGATACAAATTATCCTCATTGATCAGCCCTTCTCAATGGCAGAGGAGACAAGAGTTAACTGTAATATGCATGAAATTGACCAGCAGAAAAAAAAAGAGAGTTGATTAGTTATTAAAATCACCATCACCATTGCGACTGTCATCTGTTTCACAGGCCATAGAATTTTGTAACAAGCTGTAACAACATTTATTAAAACAAGCTGTAATAATATTTATCAAATGGCTAGCTCTGTTACTAGGCGAAATGAACTAAATCCTACACTGTGATTGGCTACTCAAGCATGCAAGACAGAGCTATCTGTTTGGGATTGCCCACTGTACCCAGCAAGCAAATGGTGCTTGTTACACCATCTTGACCAAGATTGTGTGATCAAGATGGTGGGATATTGGCCTCATTCTTTTTTCTGAGTGTCTATGGACTTTAACCATGTCTTGTTCCAAAGATATGCAAAGAAAATAGAACTTGGCCAATATCCAGCCATTTTGACCTCACACTTGATCAATAACCTATATGAATTGACTCATAGTAATCAGTCCCTAACGATCTACAACAAGCCGTAATAATCAGTTGCACGTTATTACAATGACAGTTGGATGTAAGATTCAAACCATAAAACTACTACACTGGCATTTGCTTTGATATCCCTCAACTACATGTACTCAACAGTCCTTTCAAACTCAACACTTTATCAACAACTGACTGAAGTCTCGATGCTACATGTAACAGCAATTTATTTTGTTTAACTTGAACTAAATTATGTAGGTTTGGAGAGGTGAATTCTTCAACCAGATTGAAGTGGATATAGAAATACTGGTTTCAATGGGGAAAGTGAAAAATGCACCAGAGTTCCAGAACATCAACAAACCCAAGTGGAAAATACCGGTAATAAGTGAAGTCTGGGTTTGTCTGCAGGTTTGTTCACTTACATGTTTGAGTGAGCTTCTTTTTTAAAGAGGATTTTTCTGGAAAGCATTCTGACATTTAAAAACTGGTCTATATTATATTTAGAAGGGACTTCCCACCTGAAAAATTTTAGGTGCATATAAGGAGTGACTGCATATTAAAACTCTCTCTAGATAATGATATGAACACACTTGTAGCGAGTTCTACAACCACAAGATGAACATCAAGTCTCTGAAAAATTCCAGCTACATAAAATACAAAACAACCTCAACAGCCAAGGATGTTGTGACTGGACAAAATTTTCTTGTGCTAAAGCAGCTAACCAAACATAAGTCTGACGGTTTGCATTCAAGAGGGCTTAATACTCAACGGATTATTACGTCTAAGATTGTGGGGCTTAATTTCAGTGGGCTTTTTTCCAGGATGACTCATCATTGGAACTTTCCTTAATTGCTCACAGCTGGAATCAAACCCAGGCCACATTGGTTAGAAGTGAGTGCTTCTACCAACTACACCATGCTAGCTCTCCCACTTAAATGTTGCACCAAAAGACCTATACAATGCAGTCATTGTTATGTTTCGACCGCTCTCGGGTCATTCTCAAGTTCAATGTTGAGGAGTTTAAGAGTTCAAAATATATATATATAACACACAAAGGAAAAGTCTGAGTTTCTTAATGGTCTACTTTTCAGTTTTCACCTTAACATGAATATGGAAATACACTGATCACCTTCCATTGAACAAGTAAAGGTGTTCTGATTAATTACTGTTACCATAGGAATAAAATTGATTCCTGATCAACATCTGTGAATATAGTATGGACTGAACAAAACCCTGAATGCTGGATTCTGACTGCAGTGTGCAGATCAAACGTAGCATTCATGTGTAAAAACAGTCACAAGCATTATCATAGAAAAACAGACAAGAAATCTTTTACAAGATTGTCTATACAATGATTAAAGCTAATCAGTCTATTTTCTCCACAGCATTACCATACAGAATTTTCCACATATTCATGTACATTGTACTGCAAAAACCAAAACATTAAAAACTTTATTTATTTGTGAAGCGACTAGCGCCCATGTTGTTTACAAACTGAAGGACAGGTATGATATCAGTAAACAGGGTTTCCATTCACCTCTGTCAAGAATTAACCGTAGAGATAATGTTGAACTTAAAAAGATTTACTTTTCAACTTCAAAAATGTCAGGCTGGTTCAAACAAACCACCCACGACAGCATCAGGACAAGACAGCCTTGAATAATGCTGAATTATGATTCCTACATGAATGTGGCAGTCGGAAAACAATAACTTTATACTTTTAGTCTTATTTTCGAATTAAACATTCAGCTTGCCAGTAGAAAGAACAGGCCCACGGCGAGCTCGAATCAGAACCGTAAATTCATTTCTCTCTGTTTAAAGTTAACTGTTTGTTCGCATGAGTTTATAGTGGCCATAAAATGTACATGAAACGTGGCAAATCCACGCTGCCTTTGAGAGCTTTTCAACAAATAACGGTGACAACGTTCGCAGTTCTATTTCAGTTGCAAGCAGTTCCTAAATTAATCCACTGACAGAATGAAAACGAAAGGTTAGAACAATATCTTCGAACCCGGTAAAAACACCTCAGTCGCTCTGAGGACATTCATGCGAAAAGCTGTCAAAAAAAAAATATACCACATTGTAAACAAAAAGACAACGTAGGGTTATGAACGCTGTAATCAGAAACTGAATCTTCCGGAACCCCTTACGCAAAACACACTTCAATCTCCCATTGATAATACTGTATAAGGACACAAAAAAAGACCTTAAAACGAGATTTTGGAAATCGAAAAAACGGTTTCTTCCTAAATCTTGTGTTTTTGTCACAATCGGCGGTGTGCAACAACAAAGCTCTTTATAAGGACGGTAATTCAAAGAGCTAAGAGCAAAAAATATTGAGCTACATATACTGAGTCTCTAACTGGACTAATGCCCGATTCCCCGCGACTACAGCAAGTCGCAATTGCCTTTATGCTCAAAACGCCGGGTATCATATCGTCCCAAGTCCCAGACTCGAGTAAACAGTCCTCAGAAAAAGAAAAAACAAGAATAATTACCTGATTCGCCTCCTGGATCCATCATAAGAGTTTGCCTGCATCTGCTGAGGTTCAAGGAATGTAGCGAGAGGCTATGTGTGACGGAGGACGTCTAAAAAATTCCCTCAAGCTCGCCAGTAGACATGGTTTAAACTGAAATAGAAGTTCCCTCTGTTACCAGAAAACTATCAGAAATTATTCTTAGCATTGAAAGTAACTTAAAGCCTCGAAACTAGAGCAAATTTTGAGTGATCAAGATCGATATAGACGAGAAATATTTAAGTATGCTGAATATAAGCTTGAGTTCAGCTTGTGCTGGCTGAGTGCGATATGGCAGGAGAGTCGAGCATTTCTCGCTCCCATGGAAGCGAAACGGCATTTTAACCGACGAAGCAGAAAAGCACGAGATTGTACCTACATTTCGGAAGAAAACTGGCGGTTTTTACCCCTCCGATGGTCCCCAAGCACTCTAAAAACACAATAACTTGGCAAACTAGCGTCTAGTAAAGAAACAACATTAATCAGAAGGGAAGGAGCGTCACGTGATCACCTTTGCCCAATCCAGGCCTTATTTTTCGCACCTTCAGTCCGAATAATTGCATGCAGGCCGCCATCAGTTTTATTCAGGTCTAAATATAGCTGGGCCTTTTTTAGCAGCACACCGCAGCTGATAAAACAGCACATAAATAAAATATCGCTCACGAAATTTGGTAGCTGGTTAGAAAAAGACAGAGGATCGTCGGGTGAGAAGGATACCTTGATATTTTTCGCATTTTTTCCGGCACGACTGTAAGGGCCATTTTCCCACTTCTTTTAGAGGTCGCTCAGTTCACGGAACCAACTGAAAGTATGACGTCAAGTGACGTCAATGGCTTTGAGGGATCAGAGACCGTCACACACGCAGAACAGCCAGTCCAGCGCGACTGGACTGGTTAAAGCTATTTTTGCTGAAAAAACTTCCAGAATTTTTCTTTTAGTTGGAAAAGAGCACTTCACTTCAGTAAATAAGGGTTTTCACTGATATTTTGCGTATATAAAACCTACTAGGGGCGCAGCGATTGTCAAACGGGGCGTTCGCACAATGTTTGATTAAGTGCACGAAAATGGAGAATTTCTCCATGGATACTCGCTAGCCGGTTGCAACTAGAAGTCTTGTCGAAATTTGTCCTGAAATTTCATCCATTATTGTATTCCCAGAAAAAAATAGCTTTTAAGTTTTCCTAGTGGTGTTTCGTCCGAGAACCCATCTATTTCTTCAGTATGATTTCCGCTGCACTAATCTACTCCTCAGAGAGGGCCTCCAAGAGGTTTTGGAGAACAAGGGAATTCTTGAACATGATCACTTATTTCAAGGGAGCAAGGGAAATTTCGGGGATTAAGCTGAAGGAAACTTTGACCAAAAAATTTGGGAACAATGGAATTTATAAATAGGGAACAAGGGAGAAAAAGGGGAATTTTCAAGGAATCAAGGGAACATGCTACACCCCCTCCCCCTTTTAGGAGGCCCTCTTTAGAAATTCCCAAAATCTTGTTCAGACAGAATAGAAGTCGTTAAAAAGGGAGGGAGAGGGGTAAGGGCATGGAAAGAAACGTAACCAACGCCTTCTTCCCCAAAGAGGAGCCTGTCCACAACTGAGTTCACAGCTCAGTATAGTTTTTTAAAAGCCAGAACACTCTGATAAGCGGATATCTACTAAAGATTAGGTAGTCAAATAATGGTCTTAACGCATTTACAAAATTGGCTCAAATAGTATGCGCTTATAGTTGTTCCCACAATTCTTTTTCCCTTCCAATTTCCTTGCCTAGAAGCTTAAAAAGATCAGAATTATCAGAATTATTTTATTTCGGAATAATCCGCAAGCATATGGCTTCATTCTAATCCATTTGCTTCATGTTTTGCAAGTCCGGCTCAGCTCGGCGCTGTTACTTTTTTGTTGAATATCGATTTGGGTACTGAGCATGAGGTAAATAACCCAGCAAAAGTCGCTTCTATTTACTCAGTTTCCCGCGCGTACAGGCGAACGTCACTCTATTTTGTTTTTGACAGCTGCAAGAGAGGGCGAATTTGCATTCTTCTGGAGGACAAAATATATTTATTACCTTGATGAAAGTTAAATTTATGTTTTAAAGTCAGCCTCCTCTCCTCCTCCTCCTTAGGCGTTTCGCAAATTTGCTGCGAACGAGCACGAGGCGCGAGCGACTGGTGACGAGCAACAAGCGCGAGCCGAGAGACCACGGAAATTGTGCGCGCCCGTTCGTGGAACCGTGTCGGGATAAGAGGCAGCTTTGAAGTGGTATTAAGTAAGACTTACTACTTCAGTGATCATATGTGCAAGCTGTTTTAGGTAATCAATAAGGAATGAATCTGTCTCTTTGAGTGCAGAGCCAATTTATTTGGTTTTATCATAGAAGCGAGGTCAGTTTGTGCACGTGACCCTGTCGTCGAGTTAGAAATCGAGCATAAGTTCGAGCTGTAGGAGATAAAGCTGGCTAGCCTAGGACTGCATGCAGACTTTTATTTCAAAAACACATTGTGTTACCACTGTCAGTCAGTGTCATTGTTCAGAGCTAACCGTTCACAAGCTAACCGAGTGCATTCTTGCCTGAGCCGCCGCTGCTCTTTTAGCCAGCGGGTTTCTGGCGCGAGGAAACCGCCGACCAGTTCCAGGTTCTCGCGGCATCGCACCCTTCACCCAACAACCATGGCGAGGGAAAAAAATAGAGGAGGAGTGGAATGCCCTAGGAAACAAAATCCGCGTCACAGGATTGGCAATTTCTAGCGCTTGGTACAAACTTGGAAATGATATTGCACCGCCAATCGAGCAGATCGGTTGGTTTTAGTTATTGGCCCTCTGAACTAACATAGTCATGTAACAAAAAAAAACTGTCTGCCATAACAAGGAGTCCATATTACTGGGTACTCGTGAGGCAGGATATGCGATGAGCAGATTAATCAAGAGTGGATTAAAAGAGAGTTAATTCCCCCATATCGGCTTTACTCCCAATATATTTCCTCTCAAGTCATTTAAAAATCACCACCGGTTTAGAAAATCTCAGTAGGGTCTTGAAATGAAAAATATCTCATGAGGCGCAGTTTGCTTACTGGCCTGGACAACCCAAACGTCTTTACACGCATTTCTATCCTCCACAAAACACTGCACGCAACACGCGTGGGAAAATGATCCGTAGAAGGACTGGGCATCTTAACTAAAAATAACTTGAGAAAGATTACTTTGAGAATAAAGCCCAGGTAGGAAATTATAGCTCTTAACCCTCATCCGCTCTTAGATTTACGCACTCAAAATAATGCCAACAAAAATAATAGTCGAATTTTAAAAGAACGATGAATTTTCTAATGGTAGTTTGAAAGCGTACTTCGTCCAATCACACGTTAATGTCAATGATGGAAACATGAGTTAATATTTCATAGAAACTCTGACGTGGTACGTAACGTTGGTGATTTAGCTGGCTTGAATTCAGATCTCCGTTTTCCGACATAAAAAGTTCATATATTCCACAGAAAAAGGTTAAATTACGAATTTAATTTGCTTCCCGCAACATGTTGGAAAATTCACTCGTTCGAAAAATGGCTGGTTCGAGTTTTCAGACTGACGTTTATGCCACCATAAAACGCGTACATGGGCACTTTTCATGAAGTATTACAATTATACATAAACTGTTTCTTTTATTGTCTGTTAGCAGATCAGAATTGCAGTTAACACTAGTGTAAATGCATTCTGGATAAAGTCAGTCTAGTAACATCGATAGTAACAGATAAGAACTCGCTGCCGTCTTATCAGAATATAGCTCTTCGTTATGGCGATTGATTACCCCTGAATCAGTCATTTAAACGCGGTACAAGGCCCCGTCCACACCGCGGTGTTTTCTCTCTGAAAACGCCTCAAACGTTTTCTGTCCTCACTACTCCGGAGGAATTTGNTTCAACCAGATTGAAGTGGATATAGAAATACTGGTTTCAATGGGGAAAGTGAAAAATGCACCAGAGTTCCAGAACATCAACAAACCCAAGTGGAAAATACCGGTAATAAGTGAAGTCTGGGTTTGTCTGCAGGTTTGTTCACTTACATGTTTGAGTGAGCTTCTTTTTTAAAGAGGATTTTTCTGGAAAGCATTCTGACATTTAAAAACTGGTCTATATTATATTTAGAAGGGACTTCCCACCTGAAAAATTTTAGGTGCATATAAGGAGTGACTGCATATTAAAACTCTCTCTAGATAATGATATGAACACACTTGTAGCGAGTTCTACAACCACAAGATGAACATCAAGTCTCTGAAAAATTCCAGCTACATAAAATACAAAACAACCTCAACAGCCAAGGATGTTGTGACTGGACAAAATTTTCTTGTGCTAAAGCAGCTAACCAAACATAAGTCTGACGGTTTGCATACAAGAGGGCTTAATACTCAACGGATTATTACGTCTAAGATTGTGGGGCTTAATTTCAGTGGGCTTTTTTCCAGGATGACTCATCATTGGAACTTTCCTTAATTGCTCACAGCTGGAATCAAACCCAGGCCACATTGGTTAGAAGTGAGTGCTTCTACCAACTACACCATGCTAGCTCTCCCACTTAAATGTTGCACCAAAAGACCTATACAATGCAGTCATTGTTATGTTTCGACCGCTCTCGGGTCATTCTCAAGTTCAATGTTGAGGAGTTTAAGAGTTCAAAATATATATATATAACACACAAAGGAAAAGTCTGAGTTTCTTAATGGTCTACTTTTCAGTTTTCACCTTAACATGAATATGGAAATACACTGATCACCTTCCATTGAACAAGTAAAGGTGTTCTGATTAATTACTGTTACCATAGGAATAAAATTGATTCCTGATCAACATCTGTGAATATAGTATGGACTGAACAAAACCCTGAATGCTGGATTCTGACTGCAGTGTGCAGATCAAACGTAGCATTCATGTGTAAAAACAGTCACAAGCATTATCATAGAAAAACAGACAAGAAATCTTTTACAAGATTGTCTATACAATGATTAAAGCTAATCAGTCTATTTTCTCCACAGCATTACCATACAGAATTTTCCACATATTCATGTACATTGTACTGCAAAAACCAAAACATTAAAAACTTTATTTATTTGTGAAGCGACTAGCGCCCATGTTGTTTACAAACTGAAGGACAGGTATGATATCAGTAAACAGGGTTTCCATTCACCTCTGTCAAGAATTAACCGTAGAGATAATGTTGAACTTAAAAAGATTTACTTTTCAACTTCAAAAATGTCAGGCTGGTTCAAACAAACCACCCACGACAGCATCAGGACAAGACAGCCTTGAATAATGCTGAATTATGATTCCTACATGAATGTGGCAGTCGGAAAACAATAACTTTATACTTTTAGTCTTATTTTCGAATTAAACATTCAGCTTGCCAGTAGAAAGAACAGGCCCACGGCGAGCTCGAATCAGAACCGTAAATTCATTTCTCTCTGTTTAAAGTTAACTGTTTGTTCGCATGAGTTTATAGTGGCCATAAAATGTACATGAAACGTGGCAAATCCACGCTGCCTTTGAGAG